TTCCGGTGATGTCAGGGGGTGTGGCCTTATGACACACTTCCGGTGATGTCAGGGGGTGTGGCATATGCTAATGAGTTATGCTAATGAGTTCCCCTAGCTCTTTTTCTACGAAATGACCCCTGGTCAGGACTAGGGGCCCCTGCAATTTTAGTGCCATTTGGTTCAAAAACAGCTATGCCAGCTTCCCAGAAATAGTCCTCCCATCGGGAATAACAAACCAGAAAAATTACAGGGGGTGTGGCATATGCTAATGAGTTATGCTAATGAGTTCCCCTAGCTCTTTTTCTACGAAACGACCCCTGGTCAGGACTAGGGCCCCTGCAATTTTAGTGCCATTTGGTTCAAAAACAGCCATGCCAGCTTCCCAGAAATAGTCCTCCCATCGGGAATAACCAGAAAAATTTCAGAATTCCCAAAAGCTCTGAATCAGAATTCCAGTCAATATGGGGGATCAAAATACTCTGAAATACCAATGTAGAAAATCAAGCCCAAAATCCAAAAACCACCATTTTTTTCCAAGTGCACATCCCTAGCTGCAGTCCAAATGAGCCCTTCTCCGGGAGAAAGTGCAAGGAGGAAGGAATTCTATGGTCTGACTAGTGTGCTTTTCAGAGCTGCACAAGCCGTCCACCAAGATACGTACCTGCTTCAAAGTAGACGGTTTTATTGGAGGTGCTTTTCTTTATCAGGGAACGCCTGTTGGGAATTGGCAAATGGGAGCTTTTGCTCTGCTAAAGGAAGCATAGAAGAGAGGGGGAAATACTGTATCCAAAAACAGCCCTCTTTTGACAATCTTACGTTTATAAAGCTAGTTCTTTAACAAGGAATCTTTCCAGCAAAAGTGTCACCTTTTATTATGACCAATTAGAATGTCACGAAGCTGTATGAAAATGAGGGAGGGGTGTTAAAGGACCCAAGCCTACAGTTTACAGCAATCTTAACAAGAAGTACAGGCAGGGCTGCAAACTTAATGTGGTTAATATTGGGTACAAGTTGCACCATAATCTATTAGGACACAGAAGTTAAAAGCAAGGTCACTCTCCTCTTGAAAACATAAATGCAGGACTTCCGGTTTAAGCGTTTCGCGCTCGGACGCGTCCCCATCTGGTCTGATGGAGACATACCGAGACCCGGCTGACGGGAGGGGTCCGAGTTCGTCCCGGACCTCCCTGGGGTCTTTGTAGGAGACCCCCAGCCTGGGGAGCTGAGGAGAGCCTCTTCCAAGGCGACGGCCAAGGAATTGAGGCTCACTTTCTTCCCCGAAAGGTACCGTCACCGCGGAGCCAGTATGGCATCCAGAGACGACTGCCGGAGCAAGCGATCACGATCAAACTTCTAAAAATGCTTCCAAAAGATCTCCAAGGCTCCAAACTGTGAGTTAAGCAAAGCTCAGGTGAAAAAAGCGAATTGAACCTTGGTAGTAATTGGAAGCGCCTAAGTTTGAAGTGCGGGGGGAGAGGAATTCAAGCACCCCCCCCTCTTTTGAGTAAACTTTAAAAACGGTTTTAAATCGGAAATAAAAAGACTGAGCTAAAATAAATGCATAAGAAGTTAAGCAAATGCAAAAATGGGTGGGAGCGGTGGCGCAGGCGGTAAGCGAAGCCTGCATTAACATCTGGCTGAACAGCTTCGGCTGTTCGAGCCCCACCGTGGCTGTGGTGAGCTCTCGGCCCCATGTCCCAGCTCCCGCCCACCCAGCGGCTCGAAAGCCCGTTAAAGGGCGAATAGAAGAAGATGAAGAGGAGATTGGATTTATACCCCGCCCTTCACTTGGAGTCTCAGAGCG